TGGAGCGTCGCTATTTTGAACACTGGGACTGTCGAATGTCAGGCACGGGAGTGGTCAGGTGTCTGGCACAGACGTCGTTGCGTGTTCGACAGGAGCGGCCGTCCGCTACAGTAGAAGCCGCGTGTCCGCACTGGACCGGCAGCCTGTCCGGCACAGGAGCGGCCGTAGTGCACGAGGGCGGCCTAGGGCGGAAGGTCGCACGTCACCAGGACGGCTGCTTCTGGCCTGCTCCGTCCGGCCGAAACGCAGGGCGTGGCTCGATAAAAGCTGGGCCCCACGTTACTAGGACGGCTGATTCTGGCCTGTTCCACCCGGCCGAAACGCAGGACGTGGCCCGATATAAGCTGGGCCCCACGTTATTAGGACGGCTGCTCCTGGCCTGCTCTGCCCTGGTCGAAACAAAGGACGTGGCCCGATATAAGCTGGGCCGCACGCCACTAGGACGGCTGCTCCTGGCCTGCTCTGCCCTGGTCGAAACAAAGGACGTGGCCCGATATAAGCTGGGCCCCACGCCACTAGTGTTAAAAGCATGTCCGGAGCAGGGGCAGCCGGAGAGCAGGACATCCGGCGGAGCCAGTCGAGTGGCTGCCGCACCGGGGTCAACGGTCTGCCAGTAGACGACCAAGAAGGACCCGTGTTGAGCCGAGTGGCAGACCGGAGCCGACCCCGCTGATGCAACTACCCGTCGCGGGCAAGTTCAGAGTCGGAGCCATGTCGGAGTCTGCAGTTCGGAGTCCGAGCCCGAGCCCGAGATCGGGCCCGGCCAATCGGAAAGAGACCATGCAAAGCGGACATGAGCAGAGCACGAATGACAGCGAGCTTAGCTGATGACCGGAACCTGCGGAAGGAGCATGTGGGACAAAACCGGGGGGGGGGGGGGAGGTCCGTCACATTCAGAGGAGGACGAGCACTCGGGAGCACGTCTCGAGGAGAGCAGCGCTCGGACTTGGAGGGCTCTCAGTGGACAGAGGTGCTCTCCACTCGACCACCGCAGCCATCAACATATGAGTGGAGAGCTGTGACGAATAGCCGAGACACTGTACTCTACTCTCCGTTTCCCTTCCCCTTGAGACATGTCTCCTTACCTCTCCCCTCTCTCACCCCTTGCGCTGCATTTGTCAGAGACCATCAGGGTGCGAAAACGCTGCCGGGGAGATTGCCAGCTTAAAAGGTACTAACCAGACTGAGTGGGCATGCCACGAGCCGGATGGGAATTACACGCCAAGGGGTCAAAGGTCGGGGTCATGCGCCGGCCAGGACGCATTACATGTAAGGGGTTGCCATTAGGACTAGCGCGGAGAGGAGTCATGTCACGTGCATGTAACTAAGCGCCGTGCGCTTAGATGCGTCAATGTGGACCATGAACATGATGTGATTTTAAGGGAAGAAGTGAGGAATGTAGGTGTGTGATAAACACGACGCAAACTACCCATTATTAAGTCATGTGTCCAGATACCGATGGCAGGTATCCTTTAAATTCGTAACCAGCACGAGTCTTCGCGTAAAATTAGGCCTACAAGGACGACTTTGCTAGTTGCAACGTCGCTCTGTATTTGCCGTGCGCACAGCTATTTATGTATATCTGCCGGAAAACGTACATTTCGATCGATCAGAAATTGTATGACTAGATAAAACGCTATGGAATACTGCGTCGGGAATGACGAACTCATTTTTTCGCCATTTGTATTTACGATGCGTACAGCTTTTGGTACAAGCTTGGCGAAAGAAATGACGCACGTTGCACGCTGTTCGAATATCATCGGCCCACAATTTCGGCAATAGCACGAATCTTTATGGAGAGCTGGAACCGTGCATGGACAAATTTTCATTAGACGCATAGCTGCTTGCTTACGATGCGCACTGTTTTGATACACACACACACACACACACACACACACACACACACACACACACACACACACACACACACACACACACACACACACACACACACACACACACACACACACACACACACACACACACACACACACACACCACACACACACACACACACACACACACACACACACACACACACACACAACACACACACCACACACACACACACACACACACACACCACACACCCACACACACACACACACACACACACACACACACACACACCACACACACACCCACACACACACACACACACACACACACACACACACCACACACAACACACACACACACACCACACACAACACAACACCACACACACACACACACACACACACACACACACACACACACACACACACACACACACACACACACACACACACACACACACACACACACACACACACACCACACACACACCACACACCACACACACACACACACACACACACACACACACAACACACACACACACACACACACACAACACACACACACACACCACACCACACACACACACACATATATATATATATCATATATATATATATATATATATATATATATATATATATATATATATATATATATATATTGGCCTGTACGTGAATTCACTTAGGAAAAAAGTTTGAGGCTCTTAGGTCATGACCTTCAGGTCAAATAGGGTCAAACGATGTCAAATTCCAAGTTGGTCTCCGAGTGGAGTCCGTAACTGACGATCGGACATTAGTTCCGCTGGGGACGTCTGACCCAGGCCTGGCCGTGGCACATCGAGCGGAGTTCGTAACTGACGATCGGACATTAGCTCCGCTGGGGATGTTTGACCCAGGCTTGGCTGCGGTACACCGGGCGGAGTCCGTAACTGACGATAGGACGTCAGCTCCGCTGGGGATGTTTGACCCAGGCTTGGCCGCGGTACACCGAATGGAGTCCGTAACTGACGATCGGACATTAGCTCCGCTTCAAATGCATTTCGTAGTACAATAATTGAGTATAGCAGTGCAGTAGCGTAGTACTGTGGACGGCAGCACATTCATGGAGCGAAACTCGAAACGCTTTGGTCGTCACTGAATCCCTGTCTCGAGAATTGTGACTGTTTTGCAAATGTCTATACGTGACTTTCCGCCGAATTTTTTTATTTGGGAGCGAGCAGGGTGAGGTAATGTAGCAAATGCTATTTGCCAGAGAAAACGTTCCAAACTCCGATGAGTCAAAACACTGACTGAAAGCAGAGCGTGAACGAAATCCGCTTTTGCTCACCAGTAGGTCAGAGTAACGGCTTGTGAT